GACTTGCAGGTAATCTTTTCAGTGGTTAGCTCCTGTCCAAATACCACAGATGTTGGTCACCGGGTAATACATGATCAGAATACAACAGATTAAATATTTGGGAGGTGCTAAGCTTTAAAGGAGGGCTTAGATAATGTTCTGGGACTTGAAATGGTTTCCTTAACTGAAAAAAAAAAATGAAAGAAACACGGCAATAACAGTTCTGGTCTGGTTGCAGCTGGATGGGCTGCTGGGGAAAAGCAATTCCTGGTAATCTGAAATATCTTGAATGCTGCACATTTTACTAGTTCAGTTTTTTATAGGTTCTTAGGGTTTCTTTGGAGAAAGATGATTGTTGGGGACAAAGTTCCTTGTTAGGTTTCTTGTGGGTCTTTGCTTTTCTCCATTTAACCTGTCTAATTTATCCTTGTTTTAAATGTTTAAAAGCCAGGAGCAAAAACGTTGTTTATTCTTTATTGTAGAACCCTAGATTATTTGCCTTTTAATGCTCATTGCTGTGTTTGTGTCCTGAGGCAAGAAGTATTGTGTGCCTCTTCCCAACAACCCTTCACTTTCACTGCCTAGGCATTTTTTTTTTTTTACCATGGTCTGAACTGCTAAATAATCTTTGTGCTGCTTATTAGCATCTCAGGTTCCTTCAGTTTGTCACTTAACATGCTAGTGAAATTCCTCTCCTTGCTCAGTTAAGATCTTGTTTGTTAGCTTTTTAACTGATTGGTAATTACCTGCTTGATTAAGTCTTGAAAAGAATCTGAAACTGCTATTGCCTCTGCTTTTCCAAAACTTTATTTGAAATGGAGGACATAGCTAGAAATACACCTGTCACTCTTAACACTTCATGATAGAAAGAGTAAGATATTTCTCAGAATTACACATTCTCCTTGTTTGCATAGCAATGTTTTCTGCAGGTGGCAGGTTATGAGAAGCCCATCTGTGTCTGAACAGCTTTGCTTGTGCCTTTGACGTTCTTAAGCATTTTACATTTGGTTTATGTCTAACTCATGTTTCTAGAACCAAGACCAGCCCTTTTTGCTTTAGCTGATCTATATTTTATACCTTTCTCTATCTCTTTCTTTCATCATGACGTACCTACTCCTATTTCAGGGCTGTTTGTTATTTTTTTATAGCACACATCCTATGTAAATCTAATATCAGTACAGGCTGCATTTGCTACATAATGTTGATGACATCTGAAATAGGTGTTACGTGAAGCTGTTTGTTATGTTTCAAGCTTCTTGACAAACCTCTGTTTTAGTTTTTTTGCAATGGTTGTTTTTAACTGGCAATCCATAGTTTTTGACTTTTCTGAAAAAAAAAAGAGAGCTCAACAAACTTCCCTCCATGCCAATGTTAAGATAGTCACTATAGTGGCCCTAAGTTAGCCAGTCTGAGAAGAAATTATATTATCCATCTAAAAATTCATTATTCCAGGAGGTATTTGCAAAGCCTCTGCTGCTGTGTATAACTACAGGCATCCAAGCTGGGTTTAATTTGCATATACAGGCTACTCCAGTGAGTGTCTAAAGTAGGTCATAGAATCACAGAATAATTTGAGTTAAAAGGGACCTTTCAAGACCATCTAGTTCCACCCCCCCAGCCATGAGTGGGAATACCTTCCACTAGATTGCGTTGCTCAAGGCCTCATCAAAGCCCCAGGTTGTTCAAAGCACCTAGCCTTGAACTCTTACGATGGTGAGGCGTCCACAAGTCAGGGAATCTGTTTCAGTGCCTCACAACTTTTCTGGTAAAAAAATTTCCTCTTTAAGTCCAATCTAAAACCACCCTCTTTTAATTTAAAACCATTGACCTTTCTACTGTCACTACAGGCCTTGGTAAAAAGTCTTTCTTCATCTTTATTCTAAGCCTCCTTTATATATTGAAAGACCACTATAAGATCTCCCTGGACCCTTCTCCAGGCTGAATGACCCCAGCTTGCTCAGCCTGTCTTCATAGGAGAGGTGTTCCATCACCCTCACTATCTCTTCCTTGCCCTTCCCTGGACTTGCTTCAGCAGGTCCAGCTCCTTCTTATGTTGGGGGTCTCAGAGCTGGATGCAGCACTCCAGGTGAGGTCTCACCAGAGTGAAGGAGAGGGGGAGCATCACCTCCCTTGAGCTGCGGGCCACACATTTTTTGATGCAGCCTAGAATGCAGTTGGCTCTTGAGTTGTGAGCAGATGTTGTCAGCTCACATCCAGTTTTTCAAGTACCAGTACCCCAAGTCATTTTCTGCTGGGCTGTTCTCAATCCATTCGTCTTCCAGCCTGCATTGATACTGGGAATTGTCCCGGGCCCAGTGCAGGACCATACATTTGGTTTTGCTGAACTTTGAGATTAACATGACACTGGTGAGGGAGCTGTCAAAACAGCTCCTGATTCTTGCTTAACCTATGGGAAGACGGGGGGGAATGGGTTTGGGTTTTTTTCTGCAAAACTTATGATGCCCTCTGAAGAGAGTGCTAAAGAAAGGATAGAAATGTAAAAGGCACTCATGTTTTTGAAAGTGTTTTGTAGGATTTTAATAAAGCCTTTTAAGCTGTGACATCTTCATGATTTTTGTTATTTGCATACCTCTACAGTGACATAGGAATTAAAATAAATGCCCTTGGTGATTTTTAAGAGACAGTGGGATTCCTTTCACTCTGCAATGTGATTTGCATATGCATTCTTTTTCAGGGTTATGCAGAACATATTTAAACTTTTACTGGTGTGAAATGCTGTGGGAGGTAAACTTGCAGCCAGTATGTAAACTTGCAGTTTGTCTTAGGCCAGTGTTATTTTATATACACTTATGAGAAGTCATTAACTGTATGAATGTAATATTAACCCAGTATTGGGTTGCTGTTTGCTTAAAAAGCAGTTGAGGAAAGAAAGTTGTGACTTTCTATCAAATTGATCTTCCTCAAGGTTTGGACTAATGCTCTCAGTAGGCTTGCTGGCCGTGCCTAATCAAGAATCCACCAGCTGGGATTGTTAGATTTTGGGTATTTGTTAATTTGGTATACCTGAAGCATCTACAATGCAAGAATTCAGGAGAGCTGCCTAGTGCAGCTGGTTGTACCGTCAATTTCATATTGATCTGAATTTCCACTGAAGTGGTGGTAATTGTGTGTTTTGAGGAATGTCATTCCTCCTCTAAAATGGATCTGAATTATTTGCTCGGTAAATAATAGTAGTAAAAGTAATAAGACTGTTTTCATCATAAGAAGATCTTTGCACTGGAAGGGCATCTGGGGTTCATAGGCTTTGGGGTTGAAGCTTGGTGACTTCTTACAGGGGAACTCTTACACAGGCAGATTTGTTGTATGAATTATAGTAAGTGGCCTTCCTTTAGACCTTGTGGCTTATGTACAAGTTGGAAAAATAGGGCATATATAAGAAGGCAGTGGACAGACTAAGCATTTCTGTACTGATGTTTTGTACCAGGACAAAATACTCTTCCATTCTCATACCAGTTCTTCCTTAGGACAGCACTGTTCTTTTTTTTCCCCCCTCTCTCCTTCGGTGTGCAAAGAACTTTATGAAGTATTGACATTTTCCATTGCAAAGACTTTAATACTGGACACTTGGCTAAACGAACTCCTGGCATTCAAAACTAGCCTTAGAAAGCTATTGAAAACCACCATATTTTTCCCCCAGAAAGACAACTCAGTAACATCTGAAGGGTAGGTGCTGGGCATTGATCACATCATGAAGCAGAACAGTTCCTACATTGCTTCCTACTATGTCCTTGGATCTCATGTGAGCATTACAGGTACAGCTTGTATGCTCTTGTCCAACCATAGGCTTGACTAGTAGGAGAATGTATGAGTGAATGATGGTTTATATTTTTTTGAGGAATGGCAAAGACACTTGTGATTAAGCTGATATAGCTGAGGTGTTCAGACAGTTAAGTAATTCATGTATTTCTGAGATTCTCTCAGCAGACATCCTTGAGTGCCTGGGAATGTGGTTTACAGTAGAGTTCTGTGGGCATTTTAAAATCACACTCCTGCTGAAAGGAGCACTTCTGCCCATCTTTCTCCAGTCTGTACCTTTTACCTTTTGCCACTAGAAGTATTTGTAAAGCTACGCACTGAACTGGAAACCTGATTATGGGAAAAACTAAATTAACAAGCATCACCTTTTCCACAACTCAGGTTTAACTCACATCAGATAAATTAATTGCAACCATGACAGTGGGAGGCAAAGACAGGCAGGACTATCCTTGTGGGGCCTTTATGGTGATTTAGGATGTTTGAAACTACAGAGTTTAACTTCAGTCCTGCTTCTCATAAGAAAACAGTTGTCATACCAAAAACGTAAAGCTCATGTTTGTAATGTAGTTTATAGTTACTTATTTCTGAGTGGCAGGATTGCATACTGTTCTCACATTTACTTAGTGCCTTGATTGAGAATCTGCTTCTGCATTCATGCCTTTCTCCTCGGTGAGGGGAAAGGATCTCTTTGTTCGTTTCCTTAAGTTTGGTGTTTTGGACAAATCTTCAGTCTCCTGCAGCCAGTGTGCAGCTGATCTCTGGTCTGTGTGATACAAGAGGGAATGCATAGCACGATGTAGTGGACAGAAAAGCTAAGACAGGAGTTCAGAACAGGAATGTCCTTGCAAATTGTTTTACTGATAACTTGCATCTAAATGGCAACCTTTTTCTAAATTCTAGGAACACGTGCAATTGAGTTTAAGTTACAAGTAGAGTGGATACTTTAATGGGGGGAGGGCTGAGTCTGTAGTGTGAAAGGCTGTTCAGACGCGAGGGAGCTTATTTTAATACTGCAAACGGGAGGGGAAAAAGTAAAAATTCTTCTGTTCATTTGAATTAAACTGAGATCACAGCAGATGAGCAACCTTTTTTTTTAATTCTCTGAGAAGTTAAATGATACCTTATGACTCAACGCTAAACGTTATTACTGAAGTATGGTAAAAATCTAATATGGAGTTCAGTTCAAAACTTGCCTTTAATGCTGAAGTTAAAATGTTCTAATAAATAACTCTTCTTGTTTGCAGATAACTACTCTTATTAATCATAAGGATAAACCAAAGCGTTCAGACAAGACTCTGCAAGCAATTCAGCGAGTGGGCCAAGCAGTTAACCTGGCAGTGGGAAGATTTGTTACAGTGGGTGAAGCCATAGCCAACGAAAACCATGAATTGAAAGAGGAAATGAGTGTTGCTTGCATTGAGGCAAGGAGAGCAGGTATGTAGTTACTCATGAAATTGTACTTGTGCCATTTTTGGCACACTATTTTTAGTGTCAGGAATAACGTAAGAACTTTACTATTTGATTGCTTAACCATCTTCTGCTGGTTCATTCAAGGCCTGATCTGTTACCTGATTTTTTCACTTACTTAAATTACGGTCGTCTTATGAACAGGGAATGGAATTGTATGTTGGCTCTGATTTTTATAGGATCATTTGCCACAAGGAATTATCTGACTGCTCTTTGTTTTATGATGTTATTAAAGACAAAGAACAGAGTGTTGAGAATACAACTCTATTGCTACCAAGCTAAAACAGTGGAGTATCTAAAATTGAGTGTTATGCTATTGAGGTCACTGCATTCTAAATCTGAATGTCTGAATGAAGGTCAGTGTCAACCCATATTTCATCAGGATTCAGTAAGATGACTCACATCAGTCATCTGATGACTCCTCTCAGTAGAATGAAAATCATATTGTGTTTGCCTTTTTGCTGGATTCAAGTTTTGTTGCAGAGTTGCTGTGTGTGTGAATTGAATGTGAAGTATGGATAACTGAGTTGCCTGCTGTCACCCTCCTCCTCACAGAAGCCTCTGTCTAGGCAAATAGGGGATAACATAAGAGAATGTCAGTGTCATGCTAGAAACTACTATCCTAGATATTAAGTACTATTCCTTGCATGATATTTCAGTGGCTCTCAGTAAATGCATATCCTTAGATCTGCAGTGCAGCCTTCAAGATGACTTCTAGTAGAATGTTCCTTTTGTTGTAAGTGGGGTAAGGTTTTGGTTTTTCTTTCAAATACCTTTGGATCATAGGAAATTCTATTTGAAGCTTTCCCACTTTGAGCAGGTGGATGTAGCTACAAGTGTGATAGACTTCCTGCTTACTGTGGCTTCAGGGAGACAGTCTTGAGCTTCTGGATGTGGAGGCAAATAAATGACACTTCAATGCTAATGTCTTTGACTCCAGAAAGGAGCACTACTCTACTCCAAGACAGGGGTTACTGTCCTTAAAACCATTCTGTTAAGTTAAATAGTGGACTTGTGGGTGGGTGTTTGGTTTTTATCTTTTAACCTTAGAATTCTGAAAAACCTGTCTTTTGCTGTCCTAACTGGTGTATTTCTTGCTGATTCACTGTACTGGCCTCAAACTTTGGGGATGCAGGTCATACTATTATTTGTGATTAAAAGAAAAAAAAGCTTGGAAGTTAGGCATGGTACTGTAAGAAATCCTCTGAAAATCCCTCAACAATGAATCACAATGTCTAGAAACATACTGGTGATGAATGATTGTTCTTGTGATTTGAAGGACTATTCTGGATAAACTTTAGACTGAAAATTCCTAGTCGCTCCAGTAAATTTGGCTGCGAACAGAAATGTCCTAATTTAAAAACATTCCAGTTGTTATGTGAAGCATGTGTTTTCTCTTCAGAGATCCAAGTAAAATGCTGACAAGCCAAAATTGCCAAAGTTCACATTCATAATCTCAGCTGCTAGAAGAGCAGTGAAGTCTGAATCTGTTTCTTGACTTACCATTTATGCTGTGGCCAAGTGTTTTTTCTTCCTATCAGTGTATCCAGGAGGATCTCAGAATCTAAAAATAGTCTGCAGTATTTTACCTCAACAAAAGGCTATAGTTTTTTACACAGTAAGTTTTATTTCCTGTTGCGCAGTAATGTGCCTCAGTCTAGGGGAGTGAAGATATGGATTGTTTACATTTCTCTCAAGCCTCACATTTACCTTGGCATGGGCCAGTTTTTCTCTGTGAGCAATGCATTTTAGAGCTAACTGAAGACTTATATGGGAAATTCAATATAGCAAACACGTTTTCTTCTGTTTGTTTGTGGTTTTTTTTTTTGACGGGGTTTTTTTGTGCCAGTATTATCTCTGTGGGCTGCTCAGTGTTGGACAAGGTAAAACAGTCCTTTGTGCAGATAAATTCTTATAGATAAATGTCCTCTGAATTCAAATTCTGAACACAGTTGCTCAAGTGCCATTTTTAATAACTTTGATGTTTCCAAGCAAATAAAAAAAAATTTCCTGGACAATTATAGCCAAGAATATTGACATGTATAAAAGAGTTCTGTGTTCTGGAGGCATAGGTAGCAGAAAGCCCTTGCTGTTTAGGGCAGAGTGTGTTGTAAGCTTTTCATTATTCTTTATAGCTGATAAATTAGATTGTGCTTCGGAAATTAAAGGGACATTTTGTTAGGCATAGAAGATAGATTTCAGCACTAAAGGATTTAGAACATTAAGCATCTCAGTTGCTAAGAAAAGTAGGGAGTCTTTAAATCAATTGCATATCCTGCAGAGGCTTTGAAGGATGACAGATGTTGTATCTGCCTCTTGTGAAGGGTATAATCAGTGATCTGAAGTGTTTCAGACTTGTTATGACTATTTCCTTGTAATAAACCTTGTAATTTGATTGACTCAAAATAGAATCATAAAACACTGCAGAGGGTCATGTAGCAGATTTTGCCTAACATTAGTCTTGCACTGTGTCAGTGTTAACAATGACAGTATAGCAGTGGAACATAACTCAGAAGAAGCGCATTTTAGATGCCCATCTGTGATTTTTATCTTTTTTTTTTTTTTTTCCCTCTAAAACTAGGAAAGACTGTTAATTTAAAAGAGAAAGCACATGTCAGGAATAAGTTAGTGTCATAACATTTCCAGTATTCTCTGCCAGTTGACTACATAGCCCTAGAGGAAGACATGGAGTAAAATGAAAGCAATAAATAGCTCTCTATTTTTGCCTTGTCTTTTAGTACAGAGAGGACTAAATTAAGAAGACTGAAAAATGACAATTTAAGATGAATAAATTGAATCACGGAATAACTGAGGTTGTAAGGGACATTTTAGCTTCAAGAATGGAGATCTGCCCTCCACAGTATCAGACACTGCCCCATTTTGGTATTGTTCACACGCTGGTTGAACATGCTAACCCATCATCCTGGGGACAGCTTTGATGTCTCGTATCAGTCCCAGAGAGGTACCATTGAAAACTGACAGCCCATTGGACTTTGTACCAGTTGTCACCATCCCTAAGCCCAACAGTCAGGTTCATTCTCTGCCCACCATTTTATATCTTATGATGAAGTTATAAGGACATTATGGGAGATCATGTCAAAGGCCTTGCTGAAGTTGAGATGCACAGCATTCATAGCTTTCCTTTTTTAAAATTGGTGCCATCTCATCATAGAAGGCATTCAAATCAATAAGGGACTATTCACCCTTGCAGGTCTGTGCTGTCTCTTCCTGATTGCCTTTTTCTGCTTCATGTGGTAATGGCTTCCAGTATTATTTTAGTAATAATCCTGGAGGCTGATGTGAGGCTGACTAGCCCATAATTGACTGAATTTTTCTTGTTACCCTTCTTGCATGTGGATGTGGCACCTTCTTGGATGTGACAGTTGTCTTTCTGTCATTGGAAATCTCTCCCAATTGTCACAATCTTTCAGTCACAATAGGAGAAATTACAGGGACAGTGAACTGCTTCTTTAACATGCTCAGGTGTGTTTTATGGACTTGTTTATACCCAGATGTCTTCCCTAACTCAGTCTCTTTACCATAACAGATTTTGCTCCTCGTGGCTTACTCCCAAGGCTTAATTCATGTTCCTGTAGTTGCAATCTACAGGCAGAGGAGGAAACCTTGGTTCTATTATCAGAAGTCTCGAATTTCTGGGGCTGTGTGGAGCTTTTGACAGGCAGATGTTGCAGGTCTTTCACGTTCTCTGATAAGTTTTTGTATGAGTAGATGCTTCACCTATGACTCGATTCATCTTCAAGAAGATGAATCCCACAGCATAAGAAACGGGATAATAATGTTGTGCATCCTTTCTTGGTTACCAAAAGAACTTTGCATCTATTTTAATTGTTCTCTGTATGTTTGTACACCGTTTTGTGTTGTCTCGTATATTTTGAGGTCAAAGGAAGAGATTGGGATTAATTAGCTGACAAAGGTGAACAAGCAGACATTGGCATGAACCAAAATGAATTGGACTATGGAGAAGGCAATGGCCAGTGTGTTTTCCTGTTAAATGGTCTCATTACCTGACTGGAGACTCATCCTACAGATTCACTGTTAGTGCATCTGGCTGCCCTTGCTGTTAGAATAGTAGCTCTACTTTTATGATTCTTCTTGCTTATTTTTAGGCTTTTCAGCTGGGGAACTCACCATCTCAGACTGTACTCTGTTTATCGTATTTGCATGCTTACACTAGAGTGACCCTCTGATTATTTGGAGCATGCCTTTTATGACCTGGCCTGGTCCTGGCAAAAGTCCTGAAAGTTCCTTGCCATAATGGAATACCTATTTAGGCAACTTAAGAAGCCAAAGGATTACAATTACCAGAGGAGAGAAATCTATACATGAACGCTATGCAGTGTGAAGCCCTATGGTTTGAAGGACTGTCAGGTCTTGTCCTGTAGTGTTTGTGTGTGATATTTGTGGAGTACCGGAATAATGCACCCTCAGGTTTTTCAAATGGGAGCAGTGGCTTTATCAGGCTTTTGGAGTATTTTGTCTGCTTAGGTGAATTACCTGAGGTTTTAAAGATGAGTCTTAGGGAACTTGATCAAATCTTCTAGATTTTATATTCAAGGATGATCTATAGGTGAGTTGTAGGTTGATCATCTTGTCTTACATGCTAACTAAAAGCATGTCTCAGAGCTTGCCTGAGTTCAGTCTCCCAGCAGCCTTTCTGTGATAATGGAATAGGAAACTGCCCTGTCTTTTCTCTATTGCACTATTATCTAGTGTACTCCAGAAGATTTAATTGGATAGGGTCTGTGATTTTTCTCAAATAAGCAGATCCACTGGCTGCACTGGATGCAGAATTTTTGACTGCATAAGAAATAAAAGTGGTCAGTTAAGCCTATTTAACTACTATCTATTTAACTAAATGCAAATTGAAAAAGAAGATAATGATGAACTGAAAATCAGTGCTTTATTGCCTTTTTTTGTCTCCTCTCTCTGTCAGCATACTGTTAAGTGTCTCTCCTTAGAATAAAAAGTGCAGTGGTCTCACTATAATGCTTCAGTCTTATAATTTATAAAGTTACTGGAATCTATTATTATTCGTGCCTGAAGACTTCTAAAGGAATAGGAAATCTGTAAATTACAGGAATGCTAACTGTAATTTGGAAAGTGGAGAGGAATTTATAGTTCTTCCTTGCTGCATCCCACTGTTTCAGTGGGTTGATGCTGCAAGTGTGGACACTGATTTGACTTTTGCTATTAAAAACATATCTCTCATTAATGTTTTCTTCCTCCACACTGCTCAACTCCACCCCCCACTCAAATATCTGTAGACTGTAAGAAAACTGGTGTATGTTACAGATGGAAGAATAAGGTAGTACTGAGTAGTAGTCCAAATTTAAATATGGAGAGGGTGCCACCAACAGTCAATAAAAGGAAGTGAAGTGAAATAAAAAAGAGTTATGGGTAGCTCTGAAATTGTTTCATCCCTCAAAGGTAAAAGTTAAGAATGCTTAATGGCCCAGTATCTGTTTTCTGAGTATGAAAAGTTAACTTATTTTTTTTTCTTCTAGGTGAAACAATTGCACAGCTTACAGATGTGGCAAGCTTGGATCATCCAGAATCTGATAGCCATATAACAATCTTTACAGACAAAACGGGTGTGGTAAAAGCTGCAAGATTGTTGCTTTCTTCTGTCACAAAGGTGCTGGTGTTAGCAGACAGAATTGTTATAAAGCAAATTATAACTTCCAGAAACAAGGTATTTGTAGCTCCTTTTCTGTTTTGTTTAACTGATACCTGCAGTCAGTGCAAAAGAGTGGTGGTAAATGAAGTGGTATTTTCATTATATCTCTAGGGGAAGTCTAAAATAAAAAGGTAAAAAAGTTAATGTCTTGCACATGTTTATCCACAAGGTATCTGAAAGGAGGTGGCTGTAAGTCAGTAGTATTAAAATAACAATTTTCAATGACTCTACATCTTATGTGACCCATATTTATTGCTCTATTGACTTAGTATGCTGTAGAAGATGCTGTATTACTGCTTATATAACTTCAGGTTTACTTCTACATAAAAGTGCGTGTCTGTAAAGTGGTCAACAAAAGCTTCTCCTTGTTAATGACAGGATGTTTGTACTGTCAGGATCAAGACAAAGAGAGCATTATGGATGTGTCTAAGCAAAAAGCTGTGAGGAATGCATATGAAATTCTGTGCTAGAGATGTGATGCTTACAGATTAAAAGTTTTTTACGCAGTTTAACTTAGGTCTTGAAACTTAGCATGAATTTACTTAGTTGGTTTAAATAATGTATGAAAGCCCATTTAACCTCAAATATAATCCATTTCATGCAGTGCAGACTTCACTGTCTTGCCTGTTGGATATTCTTCCATTTCTTTTTCTCCACAATGTGCTAAAACAAAAATAGAAAACGCTCATGTTTGAAAAATGAGAACCTCATAAGGTTTTCCTTATGGGGTTTTCCATTATTTTGGAATTCATAATCCAGAGCAGTGCCCCTCTTTCCTCTTTTGACTCCTCATGATGTCGCTATACTTCTGTCCCAATTTGCTTTGCAGATGTGCTGCTCTCTATTTTGCAGCTCCTAGGTCCAAGACACTTAGTTGAGTCCAGGATTCAAAACCAACAAAAATAACCTGCTCCTGATTTGCTGTCTTTGTGCTGTTTTCATCTCCCAGTGGTTGGTGAAGGTGGCGGCATTTTCATCAGTATCAGTTTGATGAAGTTACTTGCAGCTTTGGTCTTTTCTTGCCCTGGAGACCAGAATGGTGTATTTAATACCTTTTGCTGATTTTCTGCTGTTGTCTGCAGCCTACAAAGCAATAATCCTAATTAATATACCTTTCCAAAAGTGGCTGGTGGTAACACAGATTTAGGCTACAGAGCAACTGTGCAAGTGTATGTATCATGAAAGGATAAGGAAGAATATATCATTTCAGCAGCAAGCATGGTTTCTGATAATTTTAAATATATATGAAAATATTGTTGTATGTACACTGAAAAGAATACAGTAAGCATAGGTGCAGCATTTAATTTTGAAGGTATTTCAAGCAAAGTCTCATAGTCCAGAGTAAGCATATCTGACTCTGACTGCCATAGTCATAGAATCATAGACTGTCCTGAATTGGAAGGGACTCACAAGATTATGCATAAGGATCATGGAAGCCCAACTCCTGACCCTGCACAGGACAACCCCGAGAACCACACCATGTGCTTGCGTGCTTTGTCAAAACACTTCTTGAACTCAAGAGAGCCTTGATGTTGTGACCACTTCCTTGGGGAGCCTGTCCCAGTGCCCAGCCACCCTCTGGATGAAAAACCTTTTCCTAATATCCAGCCTAAAGCTCCCCTGACATAGCTTGATGTCGTTCTCTTGGGTCCTGCCACTGGTCACCAGACAGAATAGATCAGTGCCTGCCCTTCCACTTTCCCTCAAGAGGAAGCTGTAGACTGCAATGAGGTTTCCCCTCAGTCTCCTCTTCTCCAGGCAGAACAGACCAAGTGACCTGAGTCTCTCCTCCTATGGCTTCCACTCAAGGCCCTTCACCATCTTCGGTGCCTTCCTTTGGACACTCTCTAAGAGCTTAATATCTTTTTTATTTTGTCATGCCCAAAACTGCACACAATATTCAAAGTGAGGCCACACCAGTGCAGAGCAGAGTGGGACAGTCACCCCCCTCAACCAGCTGGTGATGCTTTGCCTGATGCCCCCAGGACACAGCTAGTGTTTGTGAGCTTTTGAGTTTTAGTGCATTCTCATTTTCTGTGCATAGTGCACATGTATTTGAGAAGGTTGGCTTCTGTTTATGGTACCAGTAGGGCAATTCACATCTCTATTTAATTAAACAATTGATGGTGTCTTTTAGAGGCCTGGTATTTATATATGCCCTGATTTCTATAGAGTACATTCCTGAAAAGTGTGTCAGACACTATGATGGATAGCAAAGCAGTTCTTCCTGTAAGAAATGTTGTGGTAGAGGGGTGGTATGGGCAGGGACTTAGGAAGTGAACACAAATACTCAGAGACAGTGTAGTATAATATGGCATAGAGGATGGAAAGGTAGGATCATCAGTACTGCCAACAGGAACAGACTCTGGCTTCTTGAAGTGAGTCACTGTTCCAGAAGATCTCAGCTCCATTTTTATCTTAGAGACTGAATGCCCAATGTTAAACTTTTATTGCCTTTTTTTTTTTTCTGAAGCACTTTCTGAACACCTTTTATTTTCATTGTCATCATCGTCTTCCTCATATAAATCAAGAGTCAACCAAGGGCAAAGGATAGAAAAACAGCTTAGTGGTTGGACATCCAACTGCACAGAATGATGAAGTGATTGAGATCTTCTGGAGTGGTGATCAGCTCCAGAACCCAACTTCTGTTTGATGATCCCAATGATCTTGTTCCTGCTTCTGCATCCTCTGCACCATATATACTGTCCTTGTGTTCTTAGGTTGTGTGCATTTGTTCTGTCCCTGCCTACATCTTTCTGCCTTATAAAATTAGTTTCATTGTCCATCAGACTTAGTCATTACATCAGTGAGCTTAAGGTCTTGCTCCACTTGCTGTCACCAGTCAGGTTAGGAATGCCAGAACAATGAGCAGAGAAGTGACAGGTAGTGGGGGAGCTGCTGCACTGTGCAGATTGGATCAAAATATGGATGTGCCCTGAAGTGCTGTCAGCCTACGACTGCTGTCTGAAGGGCAACATTCATACTGCAGCCGTAGCTGTGCAATACCAGGTGCTAATTTAGATATTAGTAAGAACTTAAAGCCTTATTTTGTTACATACTTTTAATCTTGTATTTAAAAATGTACATTTTCATTACTATCTGCGTGTTCCATGTTGAAGAACTTTTAAAATGAAAAATTATGAAGACATCACAGGTATTTTGCATTGTAGCAGCTTCTTGAATAACCTTTAGACAAATTTAGAGCTGTCTGTACAGTTTCTTGGAATGTCAGCTCTGCCTGGGATGTCTAGAATTATTAAATGTAATGGAAATGCATGTGCTTTCACTGAAATTTTTATTTGACGAGGTTTGTCATGAGAGAAACACTTGCTCTAGGGTAACTGTAACAGGGTTGTTTGCAACCATGACCATACTCATGAAATACTATACTTGCTTAAAACAAGAACAGTAGATAATAATTAATCTTTTGTCCATTTTTAGTAGAGAAAGTTGGACTTCAACTTGTATGTTTTCTCTTTTCTCCGTGCTTTCTTTTCTACATCCTCACTCTCCCAATCCTGTGGTTCTCTCCTTCCACTCTCATACTGCTATTTTCACATCTTTGTGCACCTTCCTTCCAAGTTCTTTATATTCCATCCTTACTCGTACATCAACACGTGAATCAGGGAAGCCCTTATTCTACAGTCTTTGTGGAACTGGCTGCATAACATAACATACTCAGACAGATACTGCGGTCTAATATTGCACGATAAAGCAGTCAGTTCCACAGTAGTCACAGGATTTAGTGGAACATTTGCTTTACGTAGTTTATAGCTGAGACTGAGCAGCTGCTCTACCACAAAGGAACGGGTGTTTCTAGGAGAGTTCGCCAAAGGTGCAGAGAGGGGGTAGCTTGTCATAATCCAGAATATAGACTGCTTTTTTTAGTTTGGGCATAGGAAAGGAAGACTAACTTGAAGTTTCTCCCTTTAAATTTCAGTTTGTTGAATTTTTATGTGGTATCTTATCTCCAATGTGAAAAACAAAATTAACTGCTTTGACTGTTTTCCCTTCTGAAGACTTTTAATGGATTTGAAAGGTCACTTTGAGATTAGCAAGTATATGTCTAACCTGAAAAACCCTGATGTTAATCTCTGTTATAAACCATATTGTAGTGACTTCACAGGATAGCTTCAGTAATCAGTAATTTGTAAGCTATATGATAATTTTTGCTGAATGTTTTTAAAAAATGCTGATTTTACATGCTTTAATGTATTGTGAGTAAGAGCTTGATACAACTTGGATATATTTAGTTCTTTGTTTTATATACAACTAATAAAAATCTCCAAAGTTAGAGAAAATTGCTACAGATAGTGTAAAACTACGTATTAACTAATTTCTAACTTTTTTGTTTACTTTTGTTGAATTCTGTTGCCTTTTTTTTTTTAGTGCACAGAGCCATTGAAACACCTATCTTTGCAACTGTGGTTTTAGACTTTGAAAGTTATGCATCTGACATTGAACTTTGAAATTGAGAGTTACAACATGGATATAATGTGCATATTAATTTCAAGCACTTGTTATTGTCATATTAAATTTAAAAACACATTTTTCCTAAATCTGGAAGCTGAATCCTGTAATACTTGATACAGTCTTGATACTGGGAGAAATGAGGACAATGTTTTCTGAGGGCTGACAACAGCTTTACTCATTTTGAATGAAGCATGATTATTAATTTACACTTGATTTCCATTTGTTGAGTTATTAATGCTTAAATAGTAACAAAATATATGCATTTTAAACTACACCATTTAGAAGTTCCTGTAAATAGTAGCATTCCTGGGTTAATAATAACATTTTCTGTTTAGCATCTTGATGATCTGCAGTATTTTCCCTTATCTTGCAGGTTCTTGCAACAATGGAACAACTAGAAAAAGTTAGTAGTTTCCAGGAGTTTGTACAAATATTCAGCCAGTTTGGAAATGAAATGGTAGAGTTTGCCCATTTAACTGGAGATCGTCAAAATGTAAGTATTAATAAAAGGTTGTGAGGGATGTTGCACACTGTAATTTTCATCTTATTATCTGAAAGATTTGAGTTCTTCTGGGATGATTAATGAAACAAAACAATTGCTGGTGTCCTGTCTCTGGAACCTAACCTGTCCTTGCTCCACCCAAAGTACATCTTTTGATTTTAAATCTCAGCCTGAGAAATATCACTGCATTATTTGATCTGCGTATCTTCCAGATGCCTGGTTGCATGTTATTTGTGGTGTCCTTTGGTTTCAATCACTGTCTTTTGACTCTAACTTTTTTGTCTCTTTACATTGGTAGAGAATTTTTCTGTTGTTACTTGACAAAAATATTTGATGTGTGCACACAGTGAAGGGACTTGAAAGCAGAGTAATTATTTTAGAAAACTCCAAACATGAAATCCTTAGATTCTAAAAAGCATCTGCTTGGTGGCTTGTTAGGGTTTGTTTTTCATTATTATTATTATTATTATTGAATATTTTTCTAGGTTTAGGTCAAAACCTTCTTATGTTAGGGCAATGATTTTTTTAGTTCTCACATGCAGCTACTCTATCAAAACCTTTCATTCATGCAGGAAGCTTTTTTCCCTGCAACTTCCATATAAATAAAGGGTTTGCTGTGAGGCTTAAGACTTCTGCTGTGAGCTCAGATTGCTTTCCCTTGGCAATCCAATCCCCTATTTAGAATTGAACCAGGGTTTGGTAGAGATCTACAGAGTCCCTAATATCCAGCAAATTTCAGAATTCAGTTTGTATAAACAATTGGCCAACCTCATCTGTTTCCTTTTACTGTTGATGTGTGCTGAGTCTGCTAAGTACATGTGCAGTCTCGAAGAACCATTTCTCGGAAAGCTGCATATAATTAAAGGAAATTAACTCTCTGCTTGGAAATTAACTCTATTTTTCCCTGAAGTATTGATAGCAGTTGTGCCTTTAAAAGGGAAAGATGCATTACTAGTAAGTGATACTATTTTCAACTGGTTTGGGTTTTCAGTGTTAACTCCTCTTCTGCTTTCTCCTCCTTTCCTACTTGACTCTTTTGGAAAGACTGTTTTGTTACCACTTTTTAAATTATGTCTTTCTTGATATACTCAGTTTACAATGTGTAGGCTGATATGTGGCATTGCTAGTCCTATTGTGAGGAAATATCCCTCAAAGTACTTTTAAGTATGCTGGAAACTCCTGAGTGCCATCAGAATTATCGGAGTGTAATGTCAGAATTTCAGAAATTAACTGTTTTGTCGTTTGATTGGTTTTTGGTTTTTGTTTGTTTTTTTTTTTAATGTGGTGATTTTGATCTTAAAAATTTTCTGTAGTTGCTAAATACAAATTTTATAAAAATGTCAAAACAGATTGCTGCAGTGATTTATCTGTGTGCCTTTTTTTTAATGTAGACACATTAATGTAAACTGTTCCCTTTTCAGCCAGTCCCATTCAGTTGCCTCAGATAGCACTCAGCTATCTTTGTGAACAGTGAGAAGATTGTACTTGTAGCTTTCAAAGTTCTTCCTATTGCTAGGCATCCTTATATGCTGAGGGATTCATGTCTTGCCCTCTTCCCCTACATCCCAGTGTGGAGTCTAAACTCTTCCATTTTGTTGAACTTTGCTAGGGGGTTAGTTCAGTTTTGCAGGTATATCCATCTCCCTGGACAGTTCTTGATAAGTTTATGTACTCAATACAGAGCAATACGGAAGAATTGCTTTTTTAGCCTGTCAAGACTTTCTTTATTACTGGTATGTAGCAAATACAACACTCAAGTAGAAAAAAGATTTAGTTTATATTTCCTTCACTGCAGTACGATGAAAAGCAGATGTTCTCTGCCTCTGCCTTACCCTTTTTCCCATTTCAGAAAATATTTTCAGTCAGGTATTCTTTTCCCATCCTTTTTCTGTTTTATGAATAATGCTATATGATAAAGATAGCAAAATTAGCAACAGTTTACATAATATGCTCTGAGATCGTCCTTCTTTGAAATCTGAATTGAATAGAGCCAAGAATAAATGCATAAATTAAAATCTCTCTGAAAAGCAAGTTCTAGATCATGAGTTAGGCTGAAAATAGCAATTGTCAGACGTTGGGAAGCCTTCTCACAACCCATTCATCTGCTAGAAAGTTTCCTTTTTCCAATCTCACAAGCAGTTAGTATTTTAGATACTGTGTATTATTCAGGTCATTTTCTTTCTTTTGATGTTTAGGATTTGAAGGATGAGAAGAAAAAGGCTAGAATGGCAGCATCTAGGGCTGTTCTTGAGAAGTGCACCATGATGCTCCTGACTGCTTCAAAGGTGAGTGAGTATGTGCACTCTTACACAACTTGGCTAAATCACAGAGCATGACATCTGACAGGATAGCCAACTCTCCTCTCTCAGCCCCAGTTTAAACTTCATGCTAAAGAAGGGTGTAAGAGTAAAGAACAGGTAAAGAAAACCTTTATATTCTCAGTAGTGGTGTGAATTCTACTTAACAGCAGTTTAATAGAAAGAATTCATAATATTCTAACACATTCCTTAGACTTGCCTTAATAGGAAGCTTTCATTTCAATATACTGCATGTGTACTCTTTCATAATAGCTACTTTACTTTCTTTAAAAAGACTTGTCTGCGGCATCCAGACTGTGAATCTGCTCGTGTTAACAAAGATGGAGTTTTCCATCGGATGCGACTAGCTTTGGAACAGGTAATAGAAATTGTAACTGACTCGCGACCAAATGGAGAAAATGAAATGGCCCCCATCAGCATATATTCTGGCATCAAAGAATTCAAGGTAAGAGTGGAAATTATATTGTTTTCTACAGCCAGTAAAGTACCTCGTAACTAGGATTTTAGGGAAAAGAAAGTAGTTTTAAATGTAAAATGGTGGAGCTGCATCTCTTCAGCAGTGTTAACTTAAATAACTGTCCCAAAATGTTAGAGAATCTGACAAGAAGGGACTATAATTTCAAAGTCATTGCCAAAATACACCTCATGATACTTGCCATCTCCTTTTGAATCAGTATGCATTCAGAACTCTAATGTTTTGTTGAGGTGATGCCTTGACATTGAATAAACTGAAGTATCAGGATCTGATCAGACCTTCATTAAAATAGTTGTTGTTCAAGAATTCTTACTTAGTAAAACTGCAGACAAAAATATTCATACAAACATTTAGAAGAGCAAGCTGTCATTCAAAGGAAATGTTCTGAATTGAAATTTATCTTGTAGCTCAGGTTTTTTTTTCCTCATAAAGGCGTTTTTAAATTTCATACTCTGTTAAGAACAGTTAATGAACACCATGTCTTACTGCTTTTGAGCCTGTCACTTTGATTTAATTTATTTACTTATCTATTTCCCCCTTTAGAATTCAATTAAAATTTTTGCAGTGTGCCTCGAAGTATTCAATTTCCTACATACAAAGTTTTAGAAAACTACTCAAAATAGATGACATGGATGCGAAAAGATCAAACAAAATTGGAATGCACATTTAATTTCTGAAACTTACTAAACTTAGAAACTTTTTATTGACAGCAGTAGAACAGTGATGTATTTGCTGTTACTCCTGGTAAGTGGCCAGTAATTTGCTGATGGCATTATCACTTTAAAGAAATCATCCCAAACCTCAAACTGGAGGTCTGGGCACAAGCAGATTGTTGGATTACTTTAAAAATAAGTGAATAACTAAAGAAAGCATTGAGGAGAAAAATAAAATGAAAATGATGCCTCTGCTTTCTACATTTGCATCCCAACTTGTATAATCACATAAATTCTCAAGGAATTTATATGCTTCTTTTTCAGAATAAGGTGGAGGGTCTTCGTGAGAATCTTTATTTTCTCTCAAAAGAGAACCTTTCGACAATGCTGGAAGTTATCCTGGAACATACAGAAGACTTCACAGACTCTGCTTATACCAGTCATGAGCACAGAGAACACATTTTGGAGCTGTCTAAACAGGCTAAAATGGAACTAGAGCAGCTGGTTTCAGTGTGGATGCAAGCTGTAAGAGCTTTTTAGCAAAGTAAATCTTTTCACCTCTACTTTGGAAAGAAATTTTTGATGCAGTCTTTCTTCTGTTCTGGGAAGAGAGAACTGAGTGTATTCCTCACAGTGAGAGCTGATCAAGGAAGCCACAGTTTGTTCTGTGCCTTCTGCAACTTTGATATGTTCTGTCCTCCCAATGCCCCAGTGTCATTGCTTCATTGATTCTTTGATGGCTAAATTAGGCTACTGGTGGCAGTAGACTAATTTTAATGAAGCTGTAATTGGAAACAAGGCAGTGAACTGAAGTATCATTATGCAGTCTTAAACAATTAGGTATTTTGTTGGAGTAGTTCAGAGATTTCGGTTTTCTTGATCCCATAGCAGTGACCACAGTTTTATTTCCTGTTTTTAACAGAATATTGAAAACAGTTAAACTATTGGAAAGGGAAACACTCTAAAAAATTGACTTGATTTTTTTTTATTCTTGTGGAGAGAGGAAGAGACACTAAGACTTACAAGCTATTTTTGTTTGTCCTTTTTTACATTATTTAAATGATGGGAGTTTTTCTTTTTAGAGAAGAAGCATGTTAAGCCTCTCTCTTGTCATTTGTCTTACTTATTCCTTGAAGATGATAGAAGATACATGCAAAAGAGAGAGGAAAAGCAGAGATGGAAAATGCAGTTTCTGGTTTTGATGCTGACTTGCTTTCAGTCTTGCTTCTGGGAAACATATAGCACAAAATCTTACCAACATTATGAAATATGGCAGATGTGTACTAGTATAGGATTCTTACTTAATTGAGTGTATTACTTATGAGAAAGCATTTTTGTTCCTTTTTCTCTCTTTGAATCAGATACTGCTATCAGGTGTTCTTAACACAGTAGTGCAGTTTGAAGGGCATGTAAATCTTACTGATATAACAGAACATTGTTATGACAAACAAGACACATATAGAATATTAGTTGCGTAGACACCTTTAACTATAGAAACTAAACCTGTGTTTAGCTTGGTGTTGGTTGTTAGCCCTGGTAGGCAGCTGTGTAAACACTGCTCAGCAATAACTAACACATCCCCATGTTGTCAGCACTGTTTTTATCACAAATCCAAAGCAGCACCATGCTGGATTTATGAAGAAAATTAATTCTATCCCAGCCAAAAGTAGGACACTTGGGTATTTCTAAGCTCTATTACTGGTGGAAAATGATCACCTCTAAATAATTTACATGCTGTATTTCAAGTGATAGAAATGAGAGCCTTGTACTAGATTATACATATATATGATCCATGAAGATACTTGGGCATGCACGTGTGTGCTTATGCTTTAAGTATTTTTATTGATAAATAACCCAGCCTAGCTTGACTAAAGACACAGTAGCAGATGAAATAGCATCAGCTCACTGAAATGGCTATTTAGTTTCAGCTCAATAGCTTCATTAGAGGGTGAATATTTTCTCGAGGACTCCTGAGAGTCTCTTTTTATAATTCAATATAGAACATTTGGTATAACATTTTAGGTATCACTTCATTTTAAAAGGGTGTTTATATTTTTTTTAAAAAAGCCTTAAACTCTTGTTTTACTCTAGGCTGGTTAGACAGAAGATTTTAGGAACTTGGCAAGCTTAAGGAAATCCTTTTCCTGAAGAAAAACTCAGTGAGACTTAGAAATAAATTGCTGTTGAATGGAAGCAGTCAATTAGATTGAACCACTATTATTTTTAGTTTTAATTTTGTGACGAATGTTTCTATAAAAGAGTTTTAGGATATACACAGGATGTGCAAAGGAGTACATTTCATCTGGAAGGAAAAGGCCATCTTCTAAAGCTCCTTGAACTAATGACACGTGACATGAAGGTGGGTTTTGCTGGGGTTTTTGTCTAATGTCTTGTTCGTTGCTTTCTTTGGCTTGTAGCAAAACCAGAAGACAAAGGATCTCATGGAAGACTTGGAAGTAGCCATTCTAAAAACATGCCAGTGCATGAATGAACTTAAAAGAGAGGTAAGTGTAGCTTAAGCAAGATAAATTGAGTTTGGATTTTTTACTTGTTATATGTGAAGTTGTAAAATGGTATCCTGCACCCAAAAAGGCTAATATCTATTTATAGAAAAGAGTAGCTACATCAGAATTACATCAGGGAGCTATTATCTTCTCTGTCCTTACTGATTAGAAATCCGTTGGATACATGGGCTCATTGCTAACTGACAAAAAAGAAGTGTTTAGAAGTAAGTACTATGCTGTCCTACCAGCACATATGCATATAATCATTGCTTTAAATGTAAAGGCAAAGTTTCCTTGGGAATTTGTGTGTCACCGTTTTAAATACTTTTTCTTTTAGTGTGCACCTAAATCAATAAATTACATTTGCAGTTTGTTTGTACTTAGCCTGTTCTATTGATTTCTATAGCAGAAATGTGTTATGTCAGTGCCTTATACTCAGGTTTTTTTCTCTACTGTTGGCAGCTGTGTATGTGCCTGTTGTAAATCATGTTTCTTTTCCTAAATGCAAACATGCTGGGGGTCAGCTTACATATGCACATAGAATAGCTGCCTTGGTACATGGGATGGACTGCATTTGCTGATCAGGGTCTTCCCCCTTTCTGGTAAGGAATAGCATTGCTGCCTTATCTGTTACACAGATTTGAGTCAAATACAGAATTACTGGTTTCTGGCAGCTTCCTGAATATTTGCAAATCATTCAGATATCTTTTCAACTGCTTTAAATTACTGTTCTTTTAAACAGATGGAGAAATGAAGGCTAAGAACAGTGAGGGTTTCAACACAGAGCAGTGCAAAGATCTTAGGGAAGCATGGTGAACTTATTAGGCTGAGCTGTCAGGTGCTGTAACTGGAAAACCTCAACTGCTCAAAAAATCATGCTCCTTTTTTTTTAATATAGATGAAATGAGAAATTTTGTCTTCTGGATTACAGTTCCTGCAGCTGTCCTGAAGATTTAAACAGTGCTTTGAATCCATTTCAGTTTCAGTGAAGTGCTTTGCACTTCTGCTGTTAGGCAGCATGTTGGGCTCCCAGAAAGTGGAGGGTACATAATTTGTGCTCTTTGATTAACAGTTTGTAATGTGGTCACCATTATGTAGGAAGTCAGTCACAGAGCTTTTCCAAAGTGGCATTCAGCTGCTTTAACTGTAAGATTATCATTTTTGGGTAACATCATTCCTGGGTGCTGAATGGGGTAGAAGGGATGATTCCCAGTCAAATTAGTATGCAGCTGTGTAATTTCATAGATCGTAAAGCCACAGGTGGCTGGAATATGGTATATGGAAGAAATCATTAATATCTTGTATTTTCTTGCAGTTCTGTAAATGTAAATGTTAACACATCATCCTGCCCACAGGTTTATATTTATGAAAATGTCACGCAGCAAAGACTACACATGTACCACACTTAAGTTAAAGAAATTTGTCAGGTGACAAAAATAGAAAATTATCTTCTGTAAACCAGCTAACAAAGGTGGCATAAAATACAAAATGGTAGGTTACCTCTGCCCTGTGATGTAGCTCTGTATTAAAAGCAATGCAGGTGAAAACACAGCATGCTGTTTTAGGAATTGTGGAGCAAATTGAGTGGGTGTGGATTTCTAAACCCACAAATCTTAAGTCCTCTGTTATTTGCTTTGTTGACTTATAGAGTCGAAAAGCTTGCTTTAGTAAGAGCCATTTTAAAATGCACGGGATTGATGCTATGCTTAGAAGTAAGTTTAGAGTATTATGTCATTTTTGTTGTTCTCTCTGTAGTGATTGAATTGATCCCAAAGTAGCCATGCTTCTTTACATGGCTGAGGAGGACTGTCCTGTCAGTCTGACTTGGGGTGCTGCAATGTATCAGTCAGCAACCAGGATCTCACTGGTAAAATGAAAGTATTATGACTAATTAAAAAGCTTTTGAGAGCCTGAGTGGCTGAGAACACAAGACAACCTTGTTAAAAGTAGTTCTTTCCCATCTCTGTCTCTTTATGGAAGAAACGAAAGTTACATTCCTTCCTTGAGATGATTTTCCTGCTAATGATCAGAGACAGCATTAACTAGAAGTATATTTCTGTCTTAGATCATGATGAAAAGAATCTCTAATGAAAAGGTAATCTCTATGTAGCCTATATATAAATGAGAATTGCCAGTTCCCACTTCAACATTACAAGCCTTTCACATATCCTTTCTTCAGAGCTGACTTCATTTCTGAGATTAGTAGTTTGTGCTAATTTTTAATGCCATGCAGGCAACGTTATATAAATAGTTTATAGCAGGTTGTCATAGCTGTTTTCTTTCCTCTCTAAAAACAGTTGCAGCAGGTTTTGAGGCAGTAATTCAGCTGTCTTTTGTGAAATTAAAAAACAAATGCAGAGAAAGTTAATTCTGGGTACACTGTACTGCCAAGGGAAAGGGGTAAAAATAAATAGAGTCCAATGAAATAAAAAACCCAGCATATCATTACAGTAAACATTCCCTTCTCTACAGCATCAGTTTCAAGCTCATTGCATTCGTAAGAGCTTGAAAAATACTTTTTCCTTGAACAGCCAAGTTGTTCTATATTCAGCGTAGTCTAGCAAAGTGAGTGCAATATTACAAGACTCATAATAGTCTTATGAGCGTAAGAGTACTATTCTCTTTCTAAAGAGTTTGCTCTTTTGGTTTTACCTCTGTTCTTAAGGGCACAGGTAAACCTCCTGACTGGTTACTAGAACTAGCAGCAGCTGTCATTGATAGCTGTTGTCAAGCAGAGTCCTTCACAGCACAATTTCAGCACATCTGTGAGTCTGAAAGTGTGTCTGGATTTAGGGATGTGTTTAAAGGAGAACCTTCTCCTTTCTTCTTGGTAGTGTGAGTGTTTGAGACTTCTCCAAGACCCATCTCCTTGTAGAAAAGGTGGTTTTTACTTTCCTAAGGCTGTGTCACAAGCTATATAACTGTCAAGCTTTTCTTTGCACCACTGATAATTCTAATTTCTAATGTATTATAAATTCATATGTTGTGTGGCTTCAGTCTGATTCACACAGTTTAATGTGTGTTCTTTATGAAAAGTGCAGTGGACATTGTTCCTTGCTTATGCTGAACTTGGTGACCCACAGATTCATGCACCTGTTTTTTCCCTATCTGTAACATAATCAGAAAGCAGCAGTGTGGTAACTTCATGTCCTCATTTTACCCAGCTCCTGTTTTGTTTCCCTCCATATTTGATTGTGGGGTTGTTGGTTTGGGTTATTTTTTTTGTTCTGTTTTTTGGGGGGTTTTATTGTTTTGCAGTGGTTTGTTGTTTTTTTTTAGTGCCGTGCATTTTACCTTTGTACTTTGAATAGTAATAGAAGAAATAAAACCCAAGATAATAAGCAAGCTGTATATGAGCTTTCATAGCAGTAAAATTTTGCTTCTTGGAAAAATCAGTATGTCTTTTGTTTGACTTCGTACTGAATTAATTTTTTTCCTTCCATGGTTTATCTCTCCTTTTAATGCTACTCAAGGTCCACAGTGCAGCAACATCTTTGGCAGCAGATCTTCTAAAATACCATACAGATCATATGGTTCTCAAAGCATTAAAAATCACAGGAGTAGAAGGAAATCTTGAAGCTGTAGCAGAATATACTTGCAAGCTATCAGAGCAGAAAGAACAACTTGTTGAGGTAAGTTCACAACACCTTTCATTGTGTAAGACACTTAGAAAATGAGTGGCTGGATTTGTATCAATCTGTTCTTTAAGAAGGCTTTGGTCTTTATTGGTGGTTGTTTTTTTTATTTTGTTTTCCTGGTATGTCATTGAATTTTGTATTGTTCTTGGTAGGGTCTGAACCAGAGGTGTCACTGTGGCATATAGGTGTTGTAGAAAGCATATAGAGTTGTACCCAATTCTCCTCCTGGATCTAGAATCAATCTGTATGTATATGTTGAGTCTAAAATATTAACAAAAAAATGGGTTTCTAGATCTAAGAAGAGATGATAACCCTTTTCTTTCAAGCAGGAGGCATCTAGCAATAGCTGAATCCAAATATACAATAATGCTGGAAATTATATGGTAAAGTTTCTTAATTCAGTGAATTTGACCATTTTGAAGTTCTTGTGTCAGTCAAGAAAGCCACTGAAAATCTTTCTCCTTTGTGAAAAGCAGTTTGTATGTTCCATGGACTGATGCATTTATGGTTTTGTATGGTAGTATTCACACATATGAATAAAGAGGACTTCTGAGTACTGAGACATCTTGGTTTATAGGAGTGGCTGTGGAGAGGATGTCTGCCACCTGTGCCTTGTTGCTGTGAGCTAAGGTACCTGTACAAGTAGGAGACATACAAAGATAGATCACTTTGATCTGAAATATGGGTCATGAAAGCCAGCAGCTGTACTTGCATGGTATCTGATAGTAATTTCTAAAAAAATACAGTATACAGGGCTTGAGGAAGTATAAATAAGCAAAAGCAATACCATTGAACTTCCAGGACTAGCAGATCAATGCTGTGAATTTTTGATTTCAGTTTCAATGTCCCCTTTATCTGTGACTATTTAGCGTTCCAGTGAGACACTGATTTTTTTTTTTCAGTCATAACCATGAGGTTTAGTGTTTGCATGTGAGCATTTCTGATGGACAGTGCAGTAGGTTTCATAAGTGCTATCTCTGTCTTAGAAAATCCTTTTGATCTGAAAAATTCCATGTTCCTTCTTGAGCAAAAGTTCACTCTTAGTCTTAATGAAGAAGAAAAAAAAAAAAAAGGATGTTGGCTTACTGTGAAAGGAAACAGTATTACTTCCCTAAACTAATTTGATGCTGATTTGCTCAAATATAATTCAGTCCTCTGGATGATGAAAGCCTACATTTTCCACATCATTTCCAATTGCTGAATAAGCCTGCTCTGGTGAAATTATTTAGGCTACAGTATTTCCAAGTTCTATACATGTGTGATTGCTTTCAGTTTTATCCTGTCATAAATATGTAAAATTGTTTTTGTTTCATTTTAATCTATTTATTAAGAATTGTGTTTCTCTTGGTGGTTTTCTACACCTTCCAAGTAAGAATTTTTATTGTAAATGCTCCATGAGAAACACTCAGCTGTGTGGTTCCCTGTAAGTTTCTAGACTGTCAGAAGTTTTTGTTTGTGTGGGTTTTTGCATGTACACCTTTTCTCACTATTAATGAAAGCATATTTTTTACCATTCTTTTCATATTTTTTAAAAAAAATCTAGATGTGTCGCTTATTGAGGCATGTTTCTGGAACTGAGCCCCTTGAGATTACTTGCATACATGCAGAAGACACCTTTCAGGTCACTGGCCCACAGGTATGTTTAGCTTTCAAATTGACCACTTCTACTAAACATAATACATCAGTAAAAATTACTTGTGTGAATTTTTTTGAAATATAATGTTGAACTGTTCAAAGCAGTTCTAAGAAGGAATTACAGTTTAATGCTGGGTAGCAGCTAAAAGAACACACAAGGAAGATCACCAAGCCTGCAAATGTCAGATGACTACACTACAAAGACATAATAGTAGCAGTTTAATTTTGTGTTTTGCCTGTGGAGGCATTTGTGAATGCATGTGGAACGCTATGTACTAGGACTTGCAACAGCAAATGCTTTGCTCTCTGTCCAGATAATTTCTGCTGCAGAAACACTGGCATTACACCCATCTAGCAAGATTGCAAAAGAAAACCTTGAGGTGTTCTGCGAGGCATGGGAGTCTCAACTGAGTGACATGTCTTTATTATTGAGAGAAATTAATGATGTGTTTGAAGGAAGACGAGGTAAGAATGCTGTATGGAAATAGAAAAATGTAGTTTTCAAAACACATAATCTAAGAATTTTAAGTGTGATTTAGGAAATACTGTTTTCTTAAGAGAAGAGTGCAAGAAACAGTTCCACATCCTGTGGGATCTAGGTATCAATACACGTTATATTGGTTTTGTATAGATATTGAATCAGGCTGCTTACTGGATTTTCTCAAATAAAAGCAGCCAAAAATTTAAAGGTCTAGTTTTGTGTATGATTAGGTATGTTTAACTTTCTGCACTGTGGTTAGTTCTAGCAAAATCAGATGGAACTGTTGAAAGGACACAAATGCATTAGACACAGCTCTTTGCCACCAGTGTCCAGATATTAGATGTGTAGGGCTTTCATCCCACCTTTTGGTTTGTCTAAGGCATATCAGCTCATGAGAGTCAAGATACAACTTCAATTGTGTGACATGTTTAATTAATTTCCTGTATTTTAGCACAATACATATATCCATATATATTCTATACTGTCAGCTTGCCTTGTATTCACTTCATAAAGTAGTGAATGTAGTTATTTGATTTTTAAACTGCTGTCCTTCCTCCTGGATGGAATCTTTGACGACTCTGCACAATCTTGGGATATTTGCTCTGGTTGGTAAGTTTATTGGTATTTGTACAACATGTAGAAGAAAAGCTTGGAATCTTAAGGAGAAAATTCTGTGTTTACTTTTAGCACAGGGTACTTTACCTTTAAAATGGAAGGCATTTTGGTTTTCATTTTTGTCCAACATAATTTTTTCCAGATTATGTCTTTAGTGTAGTCTGTCATACTTCTTGCAGCTATGTGTTTGTTTCAGTCTTTAAGGTATTATACGAATAGAATGTAATATATAATATTACTGAATGTCTTGTATTTTTAAGAGAATTGCTCAGGTTTTAAAGTTTAGAGTTAGTTAAATACAGGGACTTGATTTTTTGTATCTTAAGATACAGAAAAAGTAAATCCTTATTCAGGTTAGATGACACTTTATCAGTGATACAATACTTCATCTTGCTATTAACGTGAGACCTATTAACATGAGACCTTTTTCCATTTTTGGAGCTTATTTTGTCAGTTTAACTTTCTGTACTTGATTCTTTGTGTAAGCAGTTCTTTTCTGCCAGCATTGTGAGCACAGTAGCAACCAGCCACAGGGTGTAATATTTTAAATTGTTGCTGCTGGTTGCTATATGAGTGTGTGCCTGAGCCTCAAGACTTTTGGAAGGGAAACATATGTTGAAATTCTAGGTGGGTTTACAATACTTGTGTGTAGCACAGGTTATTGGGAATTTGAGACTTTTGAGAAATACATGATTGTTATCCTACTTGTTCTTCCACCTTGGTCTGGAATGCCACATAAATATGTGTAGCAGTCAGAGATTCTGTTTATGGGCCTTTTAACATTCAGTGGGTTTTGGTTTGTTTTGGGAGCCAGGGACATACTCACTTTCTTTAAACATAACATTTTATAAAATGAAACTTAAATAATGGCATTGCTCTATTATTAATGTGTTAGAATAAATTTGGAATTTCTAGGGCTGATAATGCAGTATCTGATTTTTTTCATACAGTGGTCTAGCAGGGTTGAATGGTAACCTTTTTATGTATTTATATCTATCTGTGCGTGTGTGCATACATATATATATTGCTATATTTAAAAATAATAGGATGAGAATCATGCAGCCACAGCAAAGCATATACTTGGCTCTCCAAACAAATTATTCTTGATGTGAGGTGCCCAGCTTCCTCTGTAGTTAGTAACTTTCTCTTGGGGCTGCTGATGGCAGATAACACATTTCCCATAAATGGCACTTTCCACTTTCTTTAAAGCATCATTTCACAAGGGCAACCCAATGTCATTGCTTGAAGGAGAGAAAAGAAAATGAATAGGTGTTGGAGGCTATCTCATGCGTAGGTGAAGACTACCTTCTCCTGTTTGGCATAGCCAGATGAGTCTGTTTTTATTAGCATCTCTCATTTCCTTAGTCTTTCAGCATAAAGTGTTCTGATACCACCACTGGTAAGATACTACGCGTAGCTTATGTTCTCTATACGGCCTCAGGCACATTAGGCCTTGCATTGCCAAAACAATGCTTAAGAGATCATGTCTCCATTTTCCTTGTCTTTTGGACCAGCCTAGTAGGGACCTTCTCTCTGAATCTGATTTGTTTCATATTAGCCATCAGTTATCTCCCTAGAAGTAATTTGGTCTCCTATATCCACCCATCTTTTACAAAGTTTTCCTTTGTATTGTGAGCTAATCTGGTTTTGTTTGCTTGTTTTCTCTTGTTGGACTTCAGATTGACCCTTGTCAGTAAAAAAAAAAAAGTGGGGAGGAACCCCCTTCTCCCCTAGTAGTCCCACCTTTTTGCTACCGGAAAATACCCTAAAGTTACCTTGACACTTTGGACATCTCCTAGAAAATACAACTGGTGACCCAGTAAATAAATGACACTAAAATATTTGTTTGCTAAGAGAGTATAAGAGTGACATTCACAAAACTTTTGCCTCTGAACACAGTGAAGTTTCACTATTTCATAAGACTTTATTCTTCTCGTAATTCATGATACTTGTCTTAATGTTGAGGTTGCTAAAAGTGTCTTTATTTTACAGACTAAAATATATCAAGTGCTTTATTCCTAGTAAAATTGTGATTGTGTGTAACAAAATATAGAATTACAGTAAGAGGTATATATTTTTTTTCTCCTCAGCTTAAAAACCTGTATTTTTGTACTACCAATTGAAATGTTTGGCTTTGTTAGAGAGTTCAGAATACAGCTTGAGATGCAAAAATTGAATGGTGACTAAATGTGCTGGACACAAAAAATAAAATAAGCATTTTTCGGATTATACTAGATTCACATTGTTTATACTAATTTCTTTATTTTTACAAGCTATTGCATAGCTCCTTTTCCAGTTTTTTTTCATAACAGCAAATGAGGTATTTCTCATACTAAGGTTCAAAACTCACTTGGATAGAGGGCTGTATTTAGCTTGAAAGTGAAGCAGTATTTTACTCAATTTTAATATAATCACACCAGATCATGCCCGAATTTAAATGGGCTTGTCTTAGGGAGCAGGGCACACAGGCATGTTGGGGTAGGGGAGGTTGGTGAGACACCACAGCCCAGTAATCCTCATCTGCATTCTGAAAATATTTCTGTGCTGTGCAGAACTGTATGGGGAGGTAGAGTTGTCCCTCTTTTACTCAGTCCTAAACCACTTCTTAATCCAGCGGTGAGGCCCGTTCTCCTCAATGTCAGTGTATCTGGTCTGGGCTGAGGAGAGTGAAGGCTCCTCAAGAGGGAGGCTCCTGCCACCTGGGAGGTTTGGTTTTGCCCAGGCAGGATCATTTTGTTTCTTTAGCTTTGATACTTAACTCTGAAACTCCTGTACTTTGAGATGGATCACTTGACAGAAGTACCTCTCATCGATCCAAGCTGTCGGATATCAGCCAGTCTCTTTTTTTTCTAACATTTTGGTTTCAACATGCTGGATAAGAATATAAATAATTCTCTGATTGCTCCCTTATAACTTGGTCGGAAGTGAGAGAATGGTTGTTGAAGATAATTTACTTTTCTGCTCTCCTCTTTTGTTGTGCTCACTTGATTTGTGAGGAGTTAAATGACCATGACGATTTGGGAGGGCCGTAGTTGATGACTAGGCAATACAGATCAGAATTTCAGAATGAAGAAATTTGAATTCTAGAAAGAAGAGTGAAGCAGGCATGCTGCCATCCTCTCAGAGAAGAAGTGACATGAAAAGCAGGATTTGGAAGTTGAAATAGATGCACTTTGGAGGGAAAGACATGATTGGAACTAATAGAAAGCATAAAATTGGAAGACAAGAAGAAATAAAAATAAATTATAAGTTAAGAAAATTTAAAAAAGGAAAAACATGTTAGAGAAAATGCATTAAGAAAGCAAAGGCAGACTCAAATAAATAAAAATATCATAATGTGGCAAAAAGCCTCATATTATTATAGCAAGATCTGACACACAAACTAGGGAAATTAAATACCTGAAAAATTATATATATGTATTCTGTTAATGAAATGAAAGTTCTGTGATTATACTGATGTAATTAAGTATTTTCTGATTAAGTAGAATTATCTCTGCCTTGAGTTGATCTCCTCTTTTGAAAGTTCCTGTGTCTGTGGGTCCAGTGAGATGTGGTTTTTGTTTGCATGGTTTTTTGGTTTTTAGGGTTTTTTAAAAATTGTCCCAAGATATAAATAGTAAGATCCTTCTTCTTTCTGAATATAATCAACTAAATGAATATGAGCAACTAAACCTTGCAAAGCCAAATAATGGGAATTACTTCAAGAGCAAAGGCAAGGTTTTTTCTTATTTCTGTTTGCTACATATTTCCATTTGGTTTCTGTAATTCTGAATGTTGACCTTTTGTGTGTGAGAAGTGTGTCTTCTCAGTATGCATTTGTATTCCATTTATTATGTCAAATCTTTTTGTGTTTGAACTTATTTTTTTTAACAAGGCACAAGTTTTGACATAGCTCCAAAGGAGATCTTTTATGCTGCAGCATTTTAAAATTACAAGTTAGCTTTTGTTCTTGGTATGTCTTACATGCTTTCTTACATGCCCTTTAGCTGATGTTTTGATACATGGGATATTGTAAATCACTTGTCATAATTTGTATCAGTCTTCAGGGAGAAATCTTGCTTGGATACATGTTTGGGCAATTAATATCTGAATAACTCTGCATTCTGAAAAAAAATAGTTAGACAGCTTGTTCCCTGATAGCTCATTCATCTTTTGCAAAACTGGGTAGGGGAAGAGGTGATATTAGAAAGTAAAGTTACATTTTTCATATTTATCAGGAGGGTGGAGAGACACTAGTCAACGTCCTAAAAGTTGTTTTTTAGGAGTCAGTTGCCTAGACATGGAGCTCACAATCTTTCTGTGGTGTCAGGAGATAAAGGGCATGCTTTCAAAAAATAATGAATGCACAAAGGAACTGTCTTCTGAGGACTCAGAATGGAATTTCTCTAGAAGCTGATACAAGATGAGGAAGTAGCGACTGTAGGAGGGTTTGTTGCTCGTCCTTTGTTGAGGTGCATCATCTCTGTGTAAACCTGGTAGTGACATCCATTGTAGTACCCTTGGGGTTTTTTGAGTAAAATCTTATTTCTTACTAGCTTTTAAGGTCGTTATTTATTTTAATTTCGTTTAGCAGTTTTTCCTCTCCTGAATCTATTGCAATAAATGTAAGTCTTCATAGATCATTATGGCTTCTGGTAGCTGAAGCTCTAATCCTAGGCTTTTAGCCCAGGCTCTGTTTCTTCTTTTTAATAAAATCTTCTTACGAACTTTTAGGTAACACGTAAAAGGATTTTTTTTCCTGTTTGTTTTGCTCAGATTTGGAATATTTGAGGCTCCCAGTGATACAAGAAACAATTGAATAAGTGTGTAAAATGCTGTAGAACTTTTTTCTTTATAAAATACATTGCATGTGGGATACATATAGTACAGTACAACGTGAGGGTTTTATTGGCATTTTTTCGAAAAACCTGCCTAGCTATTTCTTACCAGTGGCAGTGTCTACTCCAAATTTTAGACCATACAACCCATACCAAAACAAGCCTTACATGGAGCTACCCACTGCGTGTTCTATACTTTGCAACAAAACGAGTGCATGTAAATAGTGAGTCATTGGAGAGAGTTGCTTTACTCCCTATGGAATACAAGCAAGGGGACTAGAAATATTACTGAGGGAAACTGTTCAGAGAAGCTTTCTTAACTGCCAGTTGCTGGGAGCTAAAATCTGAACAGTACAGAGCTCTTGGCCTGTCTCTCTGAAAGCATGAGACAGAAGATCTGCAATATTCAGAGGGGAGAAATTACAGGTAAGTAATTTGCTTTTGTAGTACTGCAATTTAAGGATGGATAAAGTAAGGCATTTGATCCCATTGATTAAAATGTGCATACAAATTTTGGTATAAACCTGTGTGTTCTTCATAGGAGAGAAGCGTGTCTACCTGTCACTGCCCAGACCAGGGGTAAGTTGCTGTTGGGTTTGTTGTATTTACTTTATATCTGCTTTTATCTGTTTGAATTTTCTGTATCACAACTTGATGGGGACAGCAATGTCTTGGTAACAAGTCTAGAATGAATGGATGGATGGTTGACAGTAAAATACCAAACTTTGTCAGTTTATTAAATGAATAATAAACAGACTGAAGACTAAGGTAACTAGTTATGTAATGTGCTTTAATCACTTTGATTGTACATGAACTTTAATTCCTGTTTATTAATATGACATTTCTTATCATATACCTCTGCTGTCGTGCTATATAATTTAAAGATGCATTGTTGCTATTAAAACAGTAAGAATATGCTTCAACATACTGAAATTTAAAAAAAAAAAAATTACCAAGACTTAACATTGTAGCCCAAATTGACCTATTTGGAACCAATGGACGTTTGAACCTGTTGTAGGCTCTTCAGATAATGGGTTCTTGTTTCCTTCTGTGATCTTAAGTGTGTTTAATATAGAGAAAAAAGTTACACCAAATATCCAGTTTTAGGTGTGAGATATTGAATATCCTTAGCTGATTATAATTGATATTACATTCTTTCTGAGAGCATCTGTATGTTAGGAAACCTTCTAAACCTTGTTAGTATCATGTCATCAGTCATTTCATTCACTTGCTACGAACTGAATCTTTTCATGGGTAGGAAAAAAGGAAAGAATGATCTCAGAAAGTACAGTAAGCTCTAGCTTGTTTCTTTCTCTCCATGCTTTCTTTCCTTAACCCGTAGTGTTCAGGAATTTGGGTGTGAAATGATCCCCTGTCTCCGTGTCTTCTGTTGTGTAATTCTATGACTTCAAACACAATACTACTTCTGACCCTTAAGAAGAAGAGAAAAGCTCATACGTTATCAACCCAATCTGCAGATTTAAATAGAATATAATTTTGGCTGCAGGAGCATAGGTGAATTCCACGGTTAGGGAACTAAATATTGAAACTGCAAACAGACTGGTTCAGTGACTTTTGATAGGGTTTTTGTCCTTCAGTGTCTAGAAGCTACATAGCTCCTAGACTTCAGCCAAAATTTAAAGAAAAATTTGAAGTCAGATTTCCACCTGTTGATTCATATGCCTTTTAAAATACTCTGGATAAAAAAATTGTGCCCAGGATTTAAACAGTTCTGCGTTGTTATTCTCTGAAAGGTTGCTGCCTTCTTTTGAGTTTTGTAAGATACTTACCATTGAGGGGGAGTTAAAATAAATGTACAGTTTGAAAGTAGACAGGAGATGTAGATTACTTCCATAAGACACTAGAGTCTATTCACAGAGTAACTTCTTTGCCTAACTGATGCATTAAGCTTTGGAACTGCCTCTCTTCCCAGTGTTGTTACGCTCAGTAGTGCCTCTTCTCTCCCTGCTGTCAGCACAGAGGTCTTCTGTGCCTGGCTAACACCCACACTGTCCCTGCACAGAGGCCATGTTGTTCCTGTCGATCTAATTAGATTACATATTTTGTTACATCTGTTTAATTGCAACTGTGCTGTTTGCTTTTAATGAGTGGCATCCCAGATCATGCTGTAGCTGAGGACCAGAGCAGCAGTGCTGATTCATGTGTGTGCTTACTGCATGGGTATATTTTTTTCTCTATAGTATTAAGTGTTAAATCATGTTTTAAAAGCACAATAACTTGTCTGCTTTTTTAACAATTGTAGTATTCAAGTAATGCAAGTGAACACTAGAGTGGAGAAAATTACAAAAATATTACAAGATTTCTTTAGTTATTTGTGGATAGAAAAGCTTAACCTGTGCTAGAGGGCTGGTTTTCTTGAGTACCCTTCATTCTTGCACCTTAAATATTTGTGATACCTTCTAGCACAAAATTTGTGTTTACATGCAAATTTAGTTTGGTTTTGTCTTCCTTTCTTCTTTTAAGATGCCTTAAAACCAGCATTTCTTAAACTGCATCTCTAATATGCAATATAGTTAAATTTAAATCACAATTGAGAGTATCAGCTATTACCCTTTGTGCTAAATCTTTGAGATCAGCATTTCTAACACATAGGCAGAATTACAGTTCCAAATCGGGGGAGACATTCATAAGATTCAGAATATTTAAACATTTCAAGATGGAAAAAGAGAAATGGCATGAAAGCTAAACTGAGCACCAAATTTCAGTAGGAAATTCAGTAGTAGTATTTTACTTTTGCTCAGACTCCTGAAGTGAGAGCTGCAGATGGTGGTGCCAGGGGGCTTAATTTCTGATGCTGTTCATAATGAACAGTGTTGGGGTTTTTTTCCCCCCTCAGGCATTACTGAGCTTAATTTGCCCAAGTAATCCCACTAATGAATACAGCAGCTTTTTTCAGATTCCCAGACAAGGGTCTCAGTCCTGCTCTCCTCCTCAGAGATCATCCATCCTCTTCCTCTGTCTCACACCTCTCCAAGTTATGACACCAACTTTGTACTTGCTACTCCTCTGCAATCCAGTGCAGTTTCTGAACATGGACTGTGGATCTCACATCTGGTAGTATTTGCTGTCTTTGCACAGTGACAGCACCAGCACACAATGTTAAAGGCAGGAACTGCAAATTAATTTGAAAAAAATGATGTATTCCTGCATAAGTGTGTCATGCAGTTGGCAAGCACTGCACTAATTATTGTTTAATCTGAGCCAGTATTTGGCTTGCAGACAGACTGGTATTTTCAATAGTTCATGACTTAAATAAAAGAAGGAAAAATCAAAGTGTCACTATTTGTTACCAGCTATTTCAACAAAGGGACACAGAATAATGAGCTACACTAGTATTTACATGGGTTGGAGCCTACATCAGCTGACTACTAGCCAAATCAACTTCCCTGTTACATAGTGTCATCTTTGATGATGGAAAAATCAGTGCAGGAGCACTTGATTGAGACTGTTTAGTCCCAAGTATTATTGAAGATTTAGAGGGTAAGGGGAAGAGATTGTACTGCATTAGGAAGTGGAGTCCAAGAACTGTGGAAGAGGTCTTTTCCTTGAAATTTCTGGGCATCTACAAGGCACAGATGCTGTTTGCACATTCCAATTTCAGGAGGACAGACAGAACAGGTTCTCAGTTTCTCCTGAGAATTTTGTGTAAAGCACTAGAACTCTCCTGCAAAGTCTTCCTCTGAGTATAGAGCTACCTCTTATGATTTGTTAGTAAAATGATTACAAATTCCTTTTATTTAAAAATATTATTTTTGTTTGAAACAGAAGCATAATGCAAATCTGAAAGCATTAAAGCCAGTCAAACTAGATACTGAGGTAAGATGCCATCATTTTCGTAAAAAAATTCCTTTATTATTTTTATCTTGTCTGAAGAATGCGTTTTCAAGTACCATAAATGTGGTTACAGGAACAGGCAAAAATTGCAAAACTTGGATTAGAATTGCATCTGCTCACATCTGATGTGGATTCTGAGACAGAGAAATGGGAAGATCAGGAGAATGAGATCGTGCAGCATGGACAAGGCATGTCAAGTATGGCCTACTCCATGTATTTATTTACCAGGTAATTACATTGTATGCAGCAAATTTTGGTGGGAAGAAGAGCATTAACAGTGTTTATAAGAAAGAAGATAGTTTCATTTTCAGAGTATAATAATTGGGACCCATTCAGAAAGGAACTTGATTTTATCCTTAAGCTTTATAAATTTTTGTAAATTTCTAAGCTGTTTAATAATAAAATTGGGGGGGGGGTTAAAGGGCTGCAGCACGTCTATTTAAATATCTTTTGGGGACAGAAAACATTTTAAGAAGTATGTTCGTAAATACTTTGAAAATCAAGGGAATTAAGGCACAGGTATATAATCTTTGCTGTACTGAAAAGAGTTGTTCTGAAACTTACCCTTGTAATGTTAGCTTTGTTACTTGAAGATTTTAGGTTTGTTTTTATTTGCAAGAGTTGAGATTTTTTTCTTCTAAGCTACTAGTCCAATAACACTCAGTATGCCAGAGACATGGATTTCTGTTCTTGTTCAGCTTAAGAGAACTGAGCCATTGCTAATTCCCCAATAGTGCTCTAGCTACTGAGGTGTTGGTATAATATTTTGAAATGCAGTTCTTGTAATAAGTTATTGTTGTGTCTAGTATTTTCTAAAAGACTGACATTTTACAGTTCAGTGGTGTGCACTGTTAAATATTCAGTGGTGAGACTATAACTTACGGAAGTAATAGGCAAAATAATCTGCAGTCTATACATGGCTTATCTTCTGCTTTCTTTATTTCCCACAGAGGAGAAGGACTTCTGAAAACTACTCAAGATTTATTTCATCAAGCAGAGGTAATATGTTTTAAACAAAACAGGAGGTAAGCACTCTTGAGTGAAGGCCAAATTGGAACTTAAGTCTCTGATTCCTTACACATAAGTACAGTGTACCATGAATTGACTGGCAGCTGTAGATTTTAAGCAGCCTAACTCTGGTACGTACCTTCTGAAAGCAAACTTTTCAGTGTTCCAGTAGTAGCTTGAGACATCATTCATTATACCAACAGGTGTTACATTCCAGATAGGAGGAAGAATAGCAAATTATGGCATTATATGGCAAATATCAGTGGACTTCAATACATTAGTAGTAGCTCAGTCCCTTATAATGTTAACTATATAGTGCTGCTCGATCCTAGTCTGAGCAGCAGTATTTTCTTGGGAAAGAAAGAGGGTGTAAAAAATTGCATAATACAAACAGAAGGAAGGGACCAAATGAAGGAATGCGTGGATTCCTTGTGTCCAGCCTTCATGCTTGTGTGTAACAGGAGACTGGTTACCTTTGATAGGACAAGATACAAACACAGCAGGTGTTATCTACCCACAAAAAATTTGTGAGCTGCCACAGTGCAAAAAATAATTGGAAATCAGGGGGGTTTTATATCTAAAGGAAAAGCCTTTAAGCTTTGCTTATCTGGGAGGATGGCAGTTTGTAATGTAGCTTTTTATTTCAGAAGTCACTGCAAACTGCTGACTTGTGAATTATAAATATATACAACAATTACAAGTATTTCCTGCTACCTTTTTACTTTATAGCACACTATTAAAACAACGAGGAAAAACTTCCATTGTGGTTCATTTTCTTTCATGCTTTCTCCTCCTTTCAGATTTTTGCCACAGAGGGCACAAAGCTTGCTTCAGCTCTTCATGCTTTTTCTGATCAGGTGATGTATGACCTCTAAAAGAGCCATTCAGCTGATGACACCAGTGCTTAAAAGCTGGCTGTGCTGTCTCCTCTGTTAACTTGATGTCGGAATCTTTAACACAGAGTTGTTTTGTCTTCCTGAACCATGTTTCAGGTACACGAGGATGACAAGCCTTTGCTTCTGTTGGAGGCTGAAAAACTCATCTCTGTGTGCAGGCAGCTCCAGATAACAGCTAAAGCTTCTGCTCAGGGAAAAAGTGCTACGTTTACAAAGGTAAGCTAAAAATTATATATATTCCTGAAAGCAATGCCTAACTTGTTTAGGAATGCAGTAATTTACTAATTTATGCTCCTGTTAAAATATGGAACAGTTCATGACAGCTGAACTTCTTGACTGGCTTTTGGATTGACAGAGGATCATAAAAATTAATAAGTACAAAATTTTGTGCTTTTGAGCAAGCATTTTTCTGCCATGCAGTATGTCACTGTTGCTGTTCCCTGTGTAGGAGAGGAACGAAAGTATTATTTTGCACTTAACATGTTTTGAGCAGCTGATGTGCAAAATAAAGAGGAAAAACCATAAGAACTGCTGTCCTTGCTGAAAATGTTTTGTCTGTTGGGACACCCCTCACTGATTACTAGTCCCAGCCATTTGCTGCACTGCCTTGTCTCAGGAAGGGATTCTCTCCAGCATAGGTGCTGTTGTCTTCTGGCCTTTTATTTTTTTTTCTTTATGTTTTCCCTACTACCAGAGAAGGGTTTCACTGAAGTTTATCCTGACCTGATCCACTCATTCATGCTGGGAGTTTGTTTGATAGGAGGCAAAATACAGTGCACTGGCACCCAGCATACATGGAAGCCTGTCATTGGATGACTTGGATATTGGATGGTATTACTCTACAGGCTTATATGAACTTTTTTTAGGGATCATAGGATATCAAGTTTTGTGTAATTGGCCCAGTGGCCACAGACATATAATTGATATTAATGTTTTAAGGAACAGTTTCCCTACTCTGAGCTTTTACTGACTTATTGAGTCTAAGAATCAGTAAAATAAGTAATAGGATATTTTTTCCTTCCTATTGCTTAAAGTACTGAAATTACTGTTACTGAAAGAGTTTACAGAAATGTTTGCCAAGACAATGATTTTCCTGGACTGCACTTAAAAAAAATTAAAAGGTGGGAAGGTGTCCATAGGCTTCCACTACTTTATATTCTTTTTGCTGCTGAGATCTTTTTTCAGAGAACTTCTATCAACATGCCCCTGACCTTACCCACTAGATAAAGAGAAGTACTGGGATTTTATCATGCTGCAAATGAGAATTTTCAGCAGAATAATAAGAGATGGAGTAATACTGTATATAATTACACTGCAATCCACTAGATTGCAGTAATAATACTGTAATCCACTCGAATTTCATCCAGAGAAATAGGAACTGTAATTAAGCATACCTTACTGTGGACTTCAGTATTTCCACCACTGTAATAATTATTGTTCTTCTGTTGTTACTAATGCTTAACATAAATGTAAATATATATAAATGTAAATTCCAACCCCCTGGCTCTATTTCTGAAATACATGCTTGCTTCTCAGTAGGTAGGTAGTGTACCCTAGACTACCCAGAATTTTTTCTGATAATATTCATATTTGCTATAAATAAATACCTATACAGCTGCCATGAAAGTTTCAGCATTGTTAATTACCACAAGGAGTAGATCTGCAGAACTCAGTGGGGAATGGAGGTCAGGTTTCTTGAAGAACTGAAGTATCCCTGAGCAGCAGTATGATCAGTGGGAGCAATACGACTTCTGCGCACCTGAATGTTTGTTTCCAACTGGCTGTGGAAAAGGTGTTTCAATTTTACAGCAAGGTCTAAAACTAGATAGAGCATGCAAGCCACTCAGAACCAAACTGAGCACCTTGGGGCTACCTCTTGGTTTGTTTTACACTCTCTAAACTGAATGGGAACTCCAGTCTGTTTACACAGTGATGTATCACTACAAAGCAGTACCAGGCTCTCAAATAAGTGTTTGTAAAGGGCCCAAATTTATAATCTGTGCTGAGTGTCAGACTTGAGGCATGAACTCAAATGCTCTAAGCTTTAAGACAATTCTTAGTGTAACTCACATCAAAGTAAGGCTTTCATGATGCATGGCTTTCTAAAGCATGCTGACAGGACATAAAACAGAAGGGAAAATCATGAAGAATTGTGATGATTCATACTTAGATGACAAGAGCTCCTTTTCAAGAAACTCCTATTACTGTTTAATATTGTATTGTTAGTAGAGAATTACACATTCTCTTGGGATGTGTGTCACTCCCTTCCTTCTGCATCATAGCTCAAGTCTTAGCTAAACAGAAAGGATGCTCTTGTTTTACATGTACTATACAGAGAAATTTATAAAAATGCAGGCAAAACCATTTGATTACATGAGATTTCAGAAGGCGAAATATTACTTATTCCAGCTCGGAGCAGATTACCATCTCATGTAGAAAACAACTGCCTAACACAAGTAATGAGTGGTCTTGCTCTGTTAATTGTCTTGTTTAGGTTGATGCATGCATTCTGAAAACAAGGAATGTGATGACTCTATTATGCCAACTTCTTCCACTTTGCTTCAAATTACTGAGAAAGGTCAGTATTTGGTTCATCTGCACTACTTTAAATAGGCTTTGGGTTTTGTTTTGTTGGGGTTGGTTGACTGATTGTTTTTAAGAAATATTCTTCTTTTTATATATACACAGAATAAAGCAGGAAATGGTTGCCTTAAACCTGCTCCACCATGGAAAGAAGACAGAATACGAACTGGTACAAATGCACATACTCCAGAAAGGAGAGCGGAGACATTTGGCATCAAGTCTTTAGAAAACCATGTAACAAACATGACGTTTTTAGAGAGCAAGTAATTACAGCACTGAGAAATGCAGGAACTCCCATTTGAAAATAACACTTCCTGAATTTTCAATATTGCTTTCATTTGTGGAAAGTCAAGCCAGGTTAATTTGAAATGAAACTGTTGGCCTTTGTCACATCTAATAGATGTCCCATTACTTAGCTATTACAACACCAACTAGTTAAATCTTCTGTATTTTTATAATGTGAATGCCTTTCCTATGCTCACTGATACCGATTTTGTAATTAATGCTTATGAATGTCTTACTGGATGTTTCAGCCCAAAGATGCTGCTAATAGACATTTTATGTAAAGATGCCTGTGCTGCATATGCTATATGTAACACTACTGTTGAAGTCTGTAAACTCATCTCCGGCCTATATCAGTCTATATATTTGATAAAGCAGAATCAGGAATATAGTCTGAAAAGCTGTGGCCTGAAGCACTGAAATGTTATCTTAGTTACAAGTTATACCTGCAATGAAGTAGTTTTAGGAAAAAAACCCTCTTTCAGTAGCTCCACCCCTGAATTTTAATCTTGATGACATGACTGATCTTTACGAAAGGGTATTTCTAAGTGACTAATAGTCTTGACTCAAATCCTTTTTCTTTTACCCTCTCTATTTGTAGATGGTAGTTGTTGCTTCCTTTTTTATTAAAATTTACTGAGAATTTGAGTTGCATGTTGAACCACTGAAGTATTATGCAGATTTGACATTATACCATTTAAAATTTAAGAAAATAGATACTTATTGATACAGAATTCTGTACAAAGGGCATTATTTGACTTCAGGATGCCATGAAAATACAACCTGGTGTGAAATGTTTATTTTCAAGTTTATCTGCTCTTTGTACCTACGCTTGTGTTACATTTTTATTTTCAATTCACCTTGGTCAAACTCCATATTGTTTTTGTTTAGCTGAATTTGATGATAGCTAATTCATATGATTTTTCTGTATGTTTTAGGCTTGCATTAAGCAAAACTGATTGTGGAACATAAATACTCCAACATGTCATTCTGAGCTTATTTAAGAACTTGTAGTGTTAGAACTCAGAGAAAAAGAGTACGGAAATTTTAATATACAAACTACTTGGACTGGTTTATTCTTGTATGAATCAAGCAGTTTAGTTCCACTTTTAAAAAGTGGCACTAGGCCTTTCAATACTACAAAACTCACAGTGTACAATAAAAGTAGCTTGTTTAGTATCAAGTACAGATGATAAGTGTAGAATTGATTTCATGAAGAAGAATTACGGCGTTTCAACAAAACTTCCTCGTACTCCTTCTGCGTCAGAAGTCCTTGAGTTACGCTCTTGCTTTCTTCAAATTTGGGTAGAACCACTGCAATGTAACCCTCAGTTGATGGCTGTAAAGCAAGACTGAAGTAAGCAGTGAAATAAAAGTTAAAAATAAAAAGCAAGAAGGTGTCTTACCTTTTCTTGCAGAAGAGTGGGGTTACTGAGAATGTTTTCATTCACTTCTATCAGCCGCCCTCGTATACAACTGCAAAAGTGTTTAGATTCAGTAGATGTGCATGGTATGTCAAGGTAAGAAGAGAAAGGTTTGAAAAACCTTACCTGTAAATGGTGTATTCCTCTCCATCTGATGAAGATATCCTGCACAGAGGGGCAAGTTCTGTTAAAAACTGAGCTCCCTGCATTTGGAAAATAAATAAATATATATGTAGTTTAATGACACAGGGCTTTTAAAAGTATTACCATCAGCAACATAAGTTTGCAAGCTTCTCAGAAAGCAAGGATGGGTGATAGTTACAGGTCATTGCAAGTTACAGAGCTGTGCTTCCCTACAGAAGGGAAGATGCCAACTTAGTTACGTGCACAAATCAAACAGAAGCTTGTTAAGGGCTTCCAGATTGAGTCATAATTAAGTTTCTTGCAGAATAGCAGACCTGTAGTTTGATCAGATTAAAATCAGGGAAGAAACAGCACGGCTGATTTCAGTATAAGCAGGTTCAACTACACATTCAAAAACCCACCATGAAACACACTAAACTGGTCCATTTGCTATCTAGACTAGCTTGAGAAAAACAGCAGTCTACAAATCCTTGGCATTTTCCTGGAAATAAATTTGTGTCTTTTCAGGGATGCTTATGTCCCTCTGTATACTATAAAAAAAAAAAAATTACTAAAAGTGAGTGGCTTTGAGCAACACTGGAAACCACCAGTGCTGTAGGAGCACTGCAAGACCTGGGCTGGGACAGCCAGACAGGCACCTCTTGAGGAAGTCTAAATTCTTCAGCTGTAGAGAGGCTGGTTTAAAATACAATACAAAAATAACCTCCTAGGTTTCTATCCTAGAAAGGACAGAAAGTTTTAGGCAGTATGGGAGATTAAAATGAAAACTAACGAAAGAAAAAAGCCATACCCTTTTTGACTTCCCAGAGACCTTATTCTGAAGTCTGCTACAGTTGGCACTGATTTGGTAATTAATGCTTTTAATTGTTTTCCCACTTTGAAGAAGAGGATGGGCTTCTGCCAAGGTGATGACACAGATTCTGAAGAAAAAAAAATAAAAGTATTATGCTATAGTTTTGAGAAGCCATGCTCTTGTGCTCTAAGCAAGCTCCACAACCTTCTCTGCCTATCTTACTTGATGCCTGCTGTGCCACCCCAAATGAAAACTGCACTCTGACCTAAAACTCCCTTAAAAGGTCCTTCATTTTGAGATATTAGACAGAATCATCAAAAGCACTACATTTTTTACTTAAACAGAACCACTGCTTTTAAATAAGCCAGAGCTGTTCTGTCTGTTGATGTACCCTGTGGGAACATACTTTGTTCACTTGACAGCTAATACCTGAAGTAGATACTCACTTAAACAAGTATGAGCACAGTACATTTTTGTCACAAAATGTAATGCAAGGCAATGTTTCTCAGAACAGCTAAAGGCCATTTGTAGTGAATAGTTAGAGAAGATAAATCCTTCAGTGATCTGGGCTTTAGTTAACCTGCTGCTTGCATTTCATCTTTTTCTAAAGGAGGGTTATTTCCTGCCATGAAACTGGACGGTTTGAGACAAGCCAAGCTTTCCCTGTGGATGCTGCATCCATCTCCACACACTCCTAGGGAGTTCTGGCTGCACAGCTCCCACAAGAGGGAGCTGGATCCTGGTGAATGCATTCAGCATGCCCCAGCAGCAAAGCTACCTCCTCTTCACTCCAGCCTCTTTCTAAGGGGGAGATGGCAAATCATTTATTTGAACAGTCATCTGTTGGAGCTGAGACCTTGCAAAACAAAAAAAAAATCCCCCCAGAATTTTATACTGCCTAGAAAAAGCAAACTGAGCTACAGCCCCACGCATAATAAGGGTAAAATACTTCACAGAGCATTTGGCTAAGCTTCTGTGTAAGCCAATATTTCACAATTCAGAGTAGCAAAACAGTCTTCATAGACATTTGAACAAATTTTAATTTCCTTTTCCCCCACATCAATAGGATTTAAAGTACTGTTTATATCAGACAACTGAGACTAGTAACTACATATTTAGTATTTAGTACATATGCAAGGGTGGCCTCTCTTGCTGTTGCTGTCATGCCTTTTATTCACAGGCACTCTGATTTCTGTTTTGAAAGAATGAGAAAGAACTGCAGAAAACAGCCACAGAGAAGCTCCAGCTCCAAAAGGCTGCAGCAAGGCAATGGTTCTGCCCTGTGCCAAGCACGCTCTTCCTGTTATTCTGAATTCTTAACAGGAGCAAGCAACCCACTGGGAACACAAATGTGGCCTTACCTTCCCTCAACACGAGCCATTGGCACTGCCAGTTTTTGTGTAGATAGTAGTTAGGTTTTATTCTTCCCTCTGAGACCAAACACCCCAGAAACACTCCGAATACCCCAGCAGGCTGCTGCTGAGGGAGGTAAAGTATGAGACTCCAAATCAGGTACAGGTTGATTTATTCCAAATAAATGGATATCCAGCTACAGCCAAGCAGAAGCAATGCATGACATTTTCCTATCTTGCCTTCACCATCCATAGTACACAAATCACAGAATCACAGAATATGCAGAGTTGGAAGGGACCCACAAGGATCATGGAGACCAACTCCTGGCCCTGCACAGGACCATCCCCAAGAGTCACACGATGTGCCTGAGAGCATTGTCCAAATGCTTCTTGAACTCAAGACTGGCTTGGTGCTGTGACCACTTCCCTGGGGAGACTGTTCCAGTGCCCAACCACACTCTAGGTACAGAACCTTTTCCCTAAGAGCTTAATATCTTTCTTATATTGTGGTGCCCAAACTGCACACAATATTCAAGGTGAGGCCGCACGAGTGCCGAGCGAGACAATCCCCCCACTCGACCGGCTGCTTTGCCTGATGCCCCCCAGGACACGGTTGGCCCTCCTGGCTGCCGTAGCACTGCTAACTCAGATTCGACTTGGCATCGACCAGGACCCCCAGGTCCCTTTCCGTGGCACTGCTTTCCAGCATCTCATTCCCCAGTCTGTACGTACATCCGGGGTTGCCCCATCCCAGGTGCAGAATCCGGCACTTTCCTTTGCCGAATGGAAAGCAAGGCCAGAGTCTTCCCGGGGGTCAGAACGCGGCGGGCAGAGGACAGACCCCAAGCCCCCCGCCCCACTCGCCTGTTGGAGTGCTGCAGCACGCAGAAGTCCTCGCACGGCCGCCCCTTCACGTCTGCAACAAGGGCACAAACACCAGTCACTGCCCCGTCGCCGCCCAGGCCCCGGTCCCGGGTCCCCCCGCCCGGCGGTACCTGGTTTGTACCAGCGCGTAAAGTACCGCTCCGCTCCCCCCGGACCCGCCGCCGGCGCCTCCATCCCGCCCATCCCGGCCCGCCCAGCCGGCGCGCCGCGATGACGGAGAGAGGGGCGGCCCCAACCCGGCCCCCTCCTTCTCCCCGGCAGGGGAAACTCCAAGGAAATGCAATTTTACTTTTTTTTTTCCCCCCACACCCACCCAACCCCACCCCCCCCGCCCCGAGAAGGTAAACGAAAGATGTAGCATCTTTCGCCACATCTACGTCAGTGAGAAAAACGCTCAAAACCCAGCATTTGGTTCAGTGGTTTATTTTCTCTAGCACACAGCAGTACGGTAACAGCAACAGTCATGATATATACACGCCAAAAAAGGTACCTTAAGTAAACAGCACATTTCATTAAAACATCGTTTTGTTTCTTGCTTTTGGCACACAAACACAATGAGCCACATTTTCCACAGAAATTTTAGTTGTGCTGGTGTCTCAGTTCAGGCAGCAGGAGAGCCTCGATGAATTCCATTTTAGCCTCTCAGTTCCATTCAAGCCTTCGCTGTGTTTTAGATAAACATAAATA